CTGGTAACCAGGGATGCTGATCTCTCTGCAAGTGGCCGGAGCCAGCCGTAAGATCACGGCTGGCTCCGCCCAGCTGTCAGAAGCAGGCCAGCTTCGGCTTTCAGCACGGCTCAGCTGAGCCGATGCATATGCATTCGGCTCGACTGAGCCGCTCGACCAAGTTCGGGAGCTGTCCTTGCTATAGTGAATAGCCCCTACAGCAGCCTTTCGGTTCTACTGAACCGAAGGGGTCCTGGGGCCGATGCTAGCCGAAGGATCGGCCGAAGCTATGGCTAGATCCTTCGGCTGCTTCGTGAATAGACCCCACATTGTTTATTATCGATAATATTTATAAATTATTAATTAAAATGTATCTTATTTATGTATCACTCAGTTGTAGATTCATCTCTGAGCTCATGCTGACACTATCCTTCCTTCTGGAGGGTGGCTACTTTTGTTCCCATGGTTCCATAGGGTGTGTTGTAAAGTAACCACTGCTCCAAGCTCGCTCCTGTGATGGACTACAATCTCACGATTAGTTTGCTAATTTGTATTAAAGTTATACTCTATCATGGGAGTGAGCTTGGAGCGGTGGCTACTTTCCAACCAGGTAAATGGCAAACAAAACAGTATGGGGCCCCCCTAAAAGATCTGTACCAGATCCTTTAGGGGGATAGATTTTAAGTGGGTAACCCCATGTTGAAAAGTGTTCCTTCCCCACATCTGTGACTCAGTGGACTTGAGGGTCTTTGGGGGAGATACGTATCAAAATCTGGATGTAAGAGGAAATAGGGTTATAAAAACACTCAACAAAGAATGACATTAAGATGTGTATCAATGCACAATAAGGCACCTGCATTTTTTGGGTTGCAGTGATTTTTTAATGTAAGTTATGATTTGAATGAACATGCTCACACCATAAGGGGCGACTTGCACTTTTCAGCAACTGAACAAGTCTAGTCAAAGCTAGGGCACAGAAAAAACAACTATTTTCTATGTGCCTGGTTTACAGCACAAGGAGGGTGTAGTGTGCGGCGAAAAACTGTTTTCTATGTGCCCAGTTTACACCACAAGGTGGGTGTAATGTACAGTATAAAAGTCAGCAGAGCTTCTTCTCATTCACTGAGATAAGGGAAAACTTCCAAAGCAAAGTGAAAACTTCCTTGCAAAGTGAACAACCTATTTCCCTTTAGTAAATGAATCCCCCTGTCTAGATAATCTGCAGCAATGATCAGTGGAGATGGTGGATGGATACTTCATCTCCACGCTACAGCTACCAGTGGCTCCACTTTAACCTTTCAGAAAATTTTAGTTTGTAGGAGATTGCTGAAATTTAATTATGCTATTAGTTTTATAGCAGTAGCATAAATATTGAACAGAGGCATTCATTTTTGTAGGTCAAACCCATAGTGAGCCTGTATATTCACTACAAACTAATGACATTAACATATCATGAGGCACTTTGTTCTTCATGCTCCAGTGATTTCATTGTTACCTAGAGAACTGACAGACAACTTTTTCAAAAATACCGGCCAACAGAACTCACAGAACAGCAGAAAGACATGAGCAACTGTTTCATATTTCTAATTAAAATTATTTGGTGCCCAAATTTGCCTAGGCTTTAGGGTCACTGTCTCTCAGAACAAGTTGATCGCTCAATTTGGCCTGTTTTGTTAATTGCAGTTGGCCTGTTTTTCTAAAGGGTGGGTGAATAAAAACCAAGCCAAGAGTCACAAGAATAATGCACTTTGTTTATAAAGGTTATGGTATAGTTCAAGGGTAGGCAAACTTCGGCTCTCCAGCTGTGCTGCAACTACAAATTGCATTAGGCGCTACACGACTTTGACAGCCACAGGCATGACTCCCAGAGGCAGATGCATGATGGGATTTGTCTTTTCACCACAGATGGAGAGCTGGAGTTTACCTACCCCTGGTCTAGTTACTAAATTCAGTGGGCAGATTTTTATTTTATTTTATTTTAAGGGGCTTTGGCTCTTGTAGGTGCATAACTTTATCATCTCCATCAGCTTACAACTCTGAAATTTACTTGATTACTAATCAGATGGATTACGTTACATATTCTGCTGCTTGTCTTGAGAATATCTGTTGGACAGAGAAGGCTTTGATCTTGGTACCTGATAGATGTTTTATGGATTACCAAGCCCAAGGTTATGGAAGTCTGTAGAAAAGGAAAACTTAGGTATACAGTATACTACTCTTCCCTTGTCTGATGGTGAATTATACAACACAGTATTAAACCCTGCCAAGTCTGCCTTAAGAAGTGGTAGTTTGAAAGCTTTAGATATTTTATAACTTGTTGGTACAGTAGAGAAGCAATGGGCTAGACTATGTTATACAGAAGGTCGTGGAGGTAACTTGTGCACAAATGTTTATTGAGTTGATGATTTTTTAAATGATCAAACTCCTCAACTGGTGTTAAAAACTTTAATAGATATAAACTATCAATGTGGAAGTAACAGAGTGTCAGAAGTATTTTTACATATCTATACACATCGCTTTATCTATCTATCTATCTATCTATCTATCTATCTATCTATCTATCTATCTATCTATCTATCTATTATACAGTTATTGAAATCACGTTGTTTTTTTCTTTATTCCAAATATGCTCTTTTTCATCCTTCATTTTTTTCATGCTTTGTAAGTGACCCATCTGAATATTGTGAGCATTTCTTTATATAGCCAACACAAAAGTGTAGGATCTAGGGCTATTTTAAATGTAGCTCCCATTATGTATAGCTGAAGATTGGGCTTTGAATCCAGCCTGTGGTTTGAGAGCATAGCAGAGACAAGCAGGCTCTTGTAAGAATATATAACAAGTGTTTGATTCTGTGTTAACAGCAGCATTGAGAGCCACTAGATCTTTTAAAGTAAAATAAAGTACCATCAGCAATCGTTTATGAATACACTCTTATGAAGCTTATACAAATTTAATTTTCACAGTGCTTCCAGTGCATGTTTGAAAATTACATTATTATAAAGTCTCAGATTTAAAGCCCTACACTTACAAGATTATTCACTAAAGGGTGAAGATTTTGGGGAACACAGGAGAAGTGAACAATCTAGGCCAAAATAGCTGATTTGGAAAATTCTCCAATTCAGCTCACTTTCCAGTTCAGCTATGTTGTCCTCGATTGTTCACTTATCCTGCCTTCTCCAAACTCTTCACCCTTTTTTGAATAACCCTGTTAGTTTCGTATACCTATGAGGTGCATTTAACAGCTTTGCTTCTATTTACTGTTTTTTGATTATAATGGTCTGGTGGTTGCCGAAGAAAAATCATAAAATAGGGGGCTTATTTATAAAGGTATGACTGGCATATTTAAGCAAGATCCACCAGGCATTCACTGACAAAGCATTAACCTTGTAAGTTCCTTGGGGGGCAGGAAATAATGGGAATGTATATTTGCTGACATCTAGATTTGTTCTGTTGCAGGGTCAGAGAAAACAAAGTGATCTTGCAGGTGCATTGTAGGCAAATTTCAGTGTCTAATAGTATCTTTAATTCTCTTGTGCAGTACCCAATCTGCAACTGAAAGACCTGTAGGAACCTGCAACTTCCATTTTGGGAGTGCATTAGTTCACTCTTTCTATAAAAGGAGTTACTTGCCACACCAAACTGAGGCATACAATGCTTTCCTGCACTGAATTTTCTTTTACAAGGTTCACATTCATCACTGATTTACCAGCTAATAAAAAGCAAAAGACCATGGGTGCATGACTAATGCATTAACTGAGCTATAGTATTATACTAGTCTCAGCTTGTCTTCTTGTGGGTGACCCCCTCCTTGATCTCTCAGTCCTCTCCTCCCTCTCAGTCTCTCACTTCCCCCTTTTGCTCTCCCCCTATTTTTCCCCCCCCTTCTTATTCCCCCCTTGCTCCTCCTGCCCTCCCCCTCTCACTCTTTCTGCTCCCTCTCTCCTCTCTCTTTCCACTCTCTCTCCCCACTTGTCTCTCGCTCTCTTCCCCTTCATTCTCCCCATCTCCGCTCTCTCTCTCTCTCTCCACACTCCCTCTTCTCTCCCTCCCTCCTCTCACAGCTCTTTCTCTCCCCCATCTTGCTCCCTCACACTCTTTGGGGCTTATTTTACTCCCACCAGCTCTTCAGTGTACCCCCAGGCCCTCTTTTGTCTAAACTATAGAAAAGCAAAGGGGGAAAGGTAGCCCACTACAAGGCATCCACCGTGAAGTAACACCCACTTTATTGACCCCCTCATTTATAGCCATGTCTACATGTGGACAGCACGCACCACTGCATTTTTCTTCACAATCCCTTCAAGGTTTATCTTCTTTTTCTTTTCAAATATTGGCAACTATGGGTTTGTTTAGGCCTAGTGACAGCAAATGCAGAACTGTTTTTTGCACTTGTTGACCAGCAATGTAAGGGACATTGCTACATAGATAGTTACATAGTTAGTCAGGTTGGTCAGGTTGAAAAAAGACACATGTCCATCGAGTTCAACCTGTAGAGATATGAAAAAAAAAGAGGAAGGCAAAACACTTCTATAAAGCATTGTTCAATTTGCTCCAACACAGGAAAAAAAATTCCTTCCTGATCCCATTAGGCAATCGGATATTCCCTGGATCAACAATTTCTGATGCTTAATATACCTATAATAACTCAATATCCATTAATATTCTGTGCATTTAGGAATACATCCAGATTAAAAAAAAACTATTAACTGAGCTAGCTAGAACTAGCTCCTGGGGGAGTCTATTCCACATTTTCACAGCACTGCACTCTGTATGTCTCAATGTGCCTTAAAGGGGTTGCAGTCTGTGTTCTTATTACATTGGGAATGGTTTCTATATAACATTACATGTTTCATTTTCTGACTAAGCATTTCTAATGATGTTATGTTTTCTTTTATAATAACATGGGATTCAGGGTCAGGGATTTAGCTCCCCCCATTTATACTCCCAGCACCAGTACAGCACCCCAAAAACAAAAATATCTAGAGCTGCCCCCTGATTAGAAAGTATATATAATATAACAAACCTCTTTGAATGACTTCTTCATTTCCACCAATGGATGCCAATGGGTTATAGGCTTCCGTGGATATGCCAGCATTTCATTCCAATGGTCTCTTCCAAGTCCTTCTGTGCTGTTACCTACTCTGCATACTCCAATAATTTCATTGTGTCCAACCCTATTAACAAAGAAATGTTTACATTTGTCACTTACATTTAATGTACTTAGGAGCACATAAAGACATTACAGAGTCTCCTGTTTTGGCAGCCATATTCACATTTGCAGTGGGGCAATGTCAATTTATTCTGTCTCACTCTAATAATGTAAAACAACCAAAATGCAACTAGTAGCCACATATCATGTCATCTTTACAATAGGCTGCAACATAATGCAGCTTAGAGTTAATTTTTGTCAATGCATGAGAGGTCCTACTGAACTACTTTGCTCTGTTAATTAATACAAATCATGTTTTTTAATGATAGGTCTACTTTAAATTGTATCTGTCTTTTAACTGCCATTGGTCATTTTGTCAGGATCTCTCTGTTTAATGACATTCTGCTGAGTTTTAATGTTTCAACAGAATATTGTGCCATAAGCAAGATAGCAAGAATTAATTTTCTACACTACATCATTAAAATATGTTGAAAAGAAATGGGTCCAATAGAGATCGTCCTGGAAAACCACTGCTTTCTTAAAGCAAACCTAAAACCACTGCTATCTTGTAGCACCCACATGCAAAAGACTGTTAAGCCAGTTCCCCTGCCGGACCTACAGTTAGAACAATTCCAGCGACGAGCTGTTAGAAACCCAATTTAATTGACATGTTGGGAAACACTCTGCCACATACACATGAGGGGCCCTACAGTATTACGTGGTCTGCCAGGGTTTCAGGTTGCAATGTGATACACAAGGGGAACCCTACTCAAAACCACCAAGCAGGAAGACCCTGCATTACTAGACCACCACGTGTTTCCCAACTAGAACCAGTCATAAAGTATCTAATCCCCATGTATAGGCTTTCTCTCTGTTCCAAAAAAATAAAAGCACTACTGCTAATTTTTTTTTTCTTTTTACTGTCTGGGAAGTTGCAAATAATGTATATAAGCAAATGTCATTCCATCTTCCATAGTTGACCAAGTTTAACTTCCTTGCCCACCAATGGAGATTTCTTAATCTAGTAACTTCCAGTTAATTTGGTGGTGCCCTGCTTTAAAAAAAAAAAAACAACATAAGGCTTTTCCCCAAAGAGGAGGCCGCATAGTGGGTCTATTACATTTTCACAGCTCAGACCCTAAGTCTTTCACTAGGGCACAGAACAGACCCAATCCACTGATGACAACCTTCTCAACTCAACTTGAACCTTCAAGCACCACCCAGAGCACCCTTGCAGGCCCTCCACTTCCTGTTAGTGAAGAACAAGCATGTACACAAGCCCTACTGCATAATCCAATCCTCTAAGCAGCCTATTAGCAGGCCAAGGTATTGTCATATAGGGTGTGGGGAGAGGGCAGACAAATGTAAATAGGCATAAGGCATAATCTAAAATGTATTTGTGTATACGCTGGGGATGTTCAGATACCAGTATATGTATCATTGCCAATACTTGGCTTTTTCACAAGAACTACTAGGGTCGCAGCTTTTGCAGCTGTGACTGGGCCCGGCGCTCCATCACTGTCCTGAAATCATTAGTCTGTATTGTTTTAGAAAAACTGTCACATGACACTAAAAAAAAAGGTATCAGTAATTGTATCTGTGATTACTTGGAAAAGTATCGGTACTTGTACGTGGTCTGGAAAAAATGGTATTGGTGCATCCCTAATACATATATACTGGTACTTGTACCAAGCACGGTACTTGGTATCTGTGCATTCCTAGTATATACTTTGGGGACAAATATGCAGGTAAACATTATTATTACTATTATTCTGCTGTCAGCTGTTTCATCTTGCCAGCTGCTTACCCATATAGGCTTTCTTTAAACCCATTTATTACATCTTCTGTTACATGTAAGATTTGTTTCCTGTCCTTTTATCAGTTCTTTACTCCTGCTCAAACATTCTCCCCTAATCCTTGAATTCTCAACTCCTTTATCAGGTTATTATGAGGGTCAATATCAAATGCATTTGTTAAATCCAAATATATCACATCAACAGCTCATTCAAGGCCCAGATTTGAGTGTACTTTGTTTTAATATAAAGCTTCCACTATATACTTAGCTGGTTGAACTTTAAGCTTTATTGGCTTGCCTGATTAAATTGTACTTTAATACTGCAATGAAAATGCGCTTTCCAATGGCAGGGTCTGGTGACTGCTTTTATAATATACAATAATTCTATGCTGACTTTGCTATACCTAGATGTAGTCATGATGTACAAAATAGTGTTCTTCTTATACTTATAGTGCAAGCAATACTTAAAGTGTAACTGTACCTTTAGAGTATATATAAGTATGCTATACTCAGCCCTGCTGAAAATCTTATATTTACTTGTCTGATCCTCCAAGATATTGCCCCCAAAACTACCAAGCTACTTATGAAACTCCTCTGAGGCTGGTATGTGTAGTTACACTTTTATTTAATCTAATGGAGAGTTCATACTCTGCTTGTGCATGGAATATGAACCCTCCATAGGATTTAGCTTAGTGTACACGGCACATGCATGGGCCAGGCCCCCAAAAATTTGGGAAGTGTCTTTGTGGCTTTGTGAGCAATATCTTGCTGAAATAGAGACAGGTGACTATAAGTGATAGGGGGGCCTGAGGGTGGTGGAAAGTACAGGTACATCTTAACTAAACAAATAGATTTTTAAGAAATGTTTTTGTGAACAACTATTGGGTAATACAATTGTATGGTAAACCATGTTGATGATAACATGTAATGATACATTATTATTAATAATAATAATAATGAATGAACATCATAATTGCTGTCATTATCATTACCACACTATTGTAAAATATTTGAATCTGTAAAAATGTACATACTTATTAGCTATACAGTTGTATTAAGATAATGTACTACCCTATGATGGCATCTTCCTCCCAAGCAGGGTAGTTTCTTGAAAATTACCTACCTATCATAATCCATGATGGAAATCAGAAGACTGACTTGGTCCATGCTCTCAGGTGGGATATCAAAGATGATGGCCTCATTATATATAGGGTTCAAGGTATTTCTTTTAATGGTGGTTTTCTTCTTTTTGAGCCTGCGGCCATCACAAAGGAGGGACACCTTTACATATGGGTCTGTGAAGAAAAGGAGGCAATTCTGTTTAACTTGTTTAAAGACTCAGCATGCAATAACCAATAATTTAAAGATAAATGTTAGCATATACCACATCTGCTACTTTGTAATGTATATAATGTGAAGATGTAAGAAGATTCAAAATAAATTACCTATAACAATAACATGGATCCCCTATGTTATTGTTATCTGTTCTGTCCAGCTTTGTGTATATACTGCAAGTCTTTCTTAAATTATAAAAGTCACTCCCTAGAACAATCAGACTGATATACTGCTGCTTGTTAGCAGTAGTAATGGTGAGACTGTTTTGATTTTTCTTTAGGTTAACCCTCATATTAAAGGCAAACACTTATTTGATTGAGCTGGCTACCCACTCACATGTAGAGAAAATGTAATTCCTAAAAAGGACATGGAATGAGTAAAATATGGTTCCTGGGATTTATTGCACTTTGCACATTATTATTCCCCCTTGTAATACCCTATTCAATTAGCTTGTTTATCTTTTAATGATCATAAGGCTCCAGAGAAGACTGAATAGACCTATAGGTAGATTATAATAGTATATACCAAGGTGGACAATTTTGTTGGTATGTTTACAACCCATTGAAACAATGCTTCATTCCTCCTGAAAACTGCTGAAATTAGAAGTGTCTAATGGAAACCTGCATGCCTTTAGTATGTCATAGAGTAAAACAAAGAAAGGGCAAACAAAGATACATTATAGTTTATTCTGCAATGATGTAACAGTCGACGGTTATGTCTAATGCGGATCTCAGCTGCGGAGTGTGTGTGAAGTGTAATGTTTGGGCACAGTTTTACGGAACCCCAATGCACTCAGTACCAAGGGGAACCGTTACACATCATATACCCCTATTCCTATGTGGTGGAGATGTATTACCCTGATGCTATAGGAGGCAGCAGGATCTGGAGCTATCAGTCTCTGTAGTTTGGGTTGGAGGAAGTGGCAATAAAGAGTATGTATAGTGGTTTCAGCAGTGATCTGTTTGTTCGTGTCCTCATATAGCAAGGACATGGCCTGTATGAACTCTGGCAGGGATTCCATGATGGGGTTCTGTTCCTCCAGAAAGGTGTTGGCCCAGGCTCTGGGTTCTCCTCTCAAATAAGAAATGAGGGATCTCACCTTCAGACCATCAGTGGTATACATCCTGGGCCTAAGATCGAACATCAGATGGCAGGCACTACCGTGTTTCCCTGAAAATAAGACACTGTCTTATATTGACCGAACTCTCTGACACGGAGCTCTGAACTGTGTGGGTCTATGACAAATGATGATCTAAAATAGCCCAGACAGATTTGTTTATACCCCTAATAAAGATTATAAATATTTGGATCACAGTGACATTTCAAACTAACTGTTTTCTATAATTAGTAGGGATGCATGATACAATTTTTTCTGTATCGTGTACGAATACGGATATTTATCTTTCGGTACCTGGTGCCGGTACTTCCACTAGCATGGAGCCGGCTTCCGGGCCAATCAGGAAGATGGGCGGCATTGCCGGTCAGGGAAAATCTCCCTCTGACCGGAAGTTCCAGTATCGGGGGCAAGTATCAGAGCATTTGGGCGAGTACGAGTACACCGATACCGATACTAGTATCGGTATCGGTGCATCCTTAATAATTAGTATGACACATGTATTCAAACTTGTCAGCTTATTTGATGGAGAAAAGTAGTCACTATTGTGTTTGGTATTATTGTGTGCACTACATTAAACATGGACCAGAGAGCAAAAGAGTTGTCTAGAGAGATCAGAAAACAAATGATAAACCAGCGTGTCAAAATAAAGGCTATACGATTCTCTATGAGCAGCTTGATGTTCCTGTTATATGTTGCAATACAATTGCAAATATCAATACGAAGTGTAAGGTCCATGGGAGTGAAGCAATCCTCCTGGATGTGACCACCAGAGGGAAATCAACCCTGGATTGAACAGAAAGATATTGTAAATGGTAGATAAAAGATATACAAGCTGCACTCTTAGGTCAAGGTACATCAGTGCCTGATGAAACTATCCATCGCTTTTTGAATGACAGTGGGGTCAAAGGAAGAAGATCCAGGAGGACATCACTGTTGGAAGAAAAACATAAAAAAGTCAGACTGGGATTTGTTAAATGCATATTGACATGCCCAAGTGCTTCTGGGAGAATGTGCTTTGGACTGATGAGACAAAACTAGATCTTTTAGGAAAGTCACATCAGCTTTATGTTCACAGATGAAAAAAATGAAGCTTTCAAAGAGAAGAACACCATACATACTGTGAAACATGGAAGAGGCTCAGTTTTGTTTCTGGGTTGCTTTGTATGACACAGGATGTCCTAAATCTGTGCAGGGCCTAATGAAATCTCAAGGCTATCAATGAATTAGGGACTGAAATGTACTGCCCTGTGTCAGAAAGCTCTGAGTCTCTCACAGGTCATGGGCCCTATAACAACATCATTAACCAAAAACATACAGCTAAAAGCACCCAAGAATTGGACTATACTAAAGTGACCTTCTATGAGCTCTGATATGAATCCCATTGAATATCTATGGAAAGAGATACAACATGCAGTTTGGAGACAGCATCTTCAAACTGGAGCAGAAAGCTGGATCAGTTTGCTTAGGAAGATTGGGGGAAACTACCTGTTGGCAGGTGCAGAAGTCCCATTGAGAGCTACATAAACCACTTGTTTGCCGTGATTGCCTCTAAAAGTAGTGCAACGGAATACTAGGTTTTGGGTACCATCGTTTTTGTCATTTGTCCATTGCATTTTTTTGTTTTATTTAACATCTGATATTTATTAATTATGGAATAAACAATGATGGATGCCAATTACTTTGGTCAGTTTTAAGCTTTTTTGTTGGAAATTGTGGGTTCAATTTTTTCGTGTTAGCGTATCAACAAATTTGTCTATGTCTGTATGTAATACTGTATTTAAATCAGCTCAGTGATATACTTAGAACTTAGTGGGATGCTGCTGGATGTGTTCAATGACATATATTCTAGCTAATAGGCCATATGGTACAAATGTGGAATTTCTGGAAAATAATATAGTAGACTGTAGAATGTACATACCTAGCATCATATAAATGACAAATATGCCTGTTTGGCATTTGCTCTCATGGCTGCTTTTCTTCTGTATTACTGAGTATTATTTTCTAAGACCATATAAGCCACAAAGAAAGAGTCTATGTGGCATATTTATAAAGTAGTGAATGTGACTTTCACCAAAAATTCCCTGGTGGTGAATAAATCACTTAAAGGAGAACTATGGGGTCAGTGTTTTTCCCCATAGTTCTCCTTAGGGTAACGGGAGGACACAAACTAGCGTCCTCCCGTTACCCTAAGCTCAGTATACCGCGAGCTACAGCTCGCGGTATACTGAGACGCTGCAGCTGGAGCGGATCCCGACATCGATGTCGAGAT